ATGTTGTTTAATATCTATCCCGTTTAAATAAAATGGTGTGGACAATTTGTCTTCTGTAATGTGCAGTATCTTGTGGGAATTTAGCCACAGATATGGGGCAAGGGAACAAGAGCAAAAGAGATTGATTTGTATGTGATTAGACTCTAGAGAGAGAAAAAAATAAAGAGAGAGAGAGAATTATCAAACTAAGGGGAACTGTAGCGGTCTACTGGAAGGAGTTACACTGCCAATCCAAATGTATGCAGTTCAAGTTCACCAGCTGCTCTGTGGGAGAAAGATGGACAATCTCTTTTCATGGGAGTTAAAGCATCTGAAAACCCACTGGAGGGTCAGGTATGAGTTGGTTCCGACTCAATGGAACATAACAACAACATGTCAAATAATAACATTAAGACTTCTTACTAGAAATACATTTTAAAAAAAATCTGTTTAAAAATGTTAGAAATGATAAGAAGTCTGGCAGATTCCTGAATGTTTAAAATCATTTTATAGTAGTAGTCTTAAAGGGATAATCAGGCATGATGTAAACAGCAGCACCTGTTCTAAAACAACATTTAGATACAGTAACAGGATATAGGACTAGGTAGTCTTAATGAATTACTTACTTTTAAGCTTGGAAGGAAACAATGAAATACTAAAAGGAGTTTAGAAATGCCATGATCAATCATCTAATATTTGCTCAATAAAGAATAAGAAATGTGCCGAACCTAGGCTAAGCCCTGTGAAAGTTAGAACAGAATACTAACATAAATGATTTATCATCTTCAAGGGTAACTTTTATAGATAAGGTGGGAAAATGGTATCTACTTATCCAGGGCCTAGAATATTGCAAAAAAATAGACCAAGAAGGCTGTTGTTGGGTTGATTAAAGTTTAAAGAAATGTGTATATGATACGCTATGAATATAACTTGTATTCAGGCGATTTGATGAGATACTCACAGAATGATTGTAAGAAGGTTCCAATATCACAGGTAATGACATTTTCCCTTGAAGATTCAATTTGGTTAAATAAAAAATCTTTTCCCCCACAATTTTTTCTTTTTTCATACGATGTACACCATACAGTCTAAACCGAACTGCGTAATTTCCAATCATCTCGGATTCAACATGATTAAATTTGAAAGTTTCTGTGAAGACGGGGCATGGTCCTCTCTGGATGCTGGTTTTTGCTCTCTGCTTCTTTATAGGTAGAAGAACAAGGTGTACTTGCCATGAGTTGCCACCTGTCCTGTTATATGTTGGGATGTCTGTGACAGCTGTCACTGTTACCAGAAGCTTCTGTTCTTGTGAGTCATAGTCAAAAGTCACATCCAGTGTGCCATACTTAGCTTCTGGCTCAGGATCAAAAGGTTTGGGGAGCTGTGAAGATGATCCTTGCGCCGATATATCCTGGGGGAAAAAGGCACATTTAAATATTTTCAGCTTCTAACACTTTTAATCTAGTATGCAAATATAGTTTGGAGGGCCTATGAAAACAATTATGATTCACTTCTATAAATGAAACCAATGGCTAACCCTAATTAAGAGCTCTATCTATGGGGAAAAACTAGTTTCAAACAGGTGAATAAAATAAAAAGAATTTTAATAAGAAGGAAAATCTATAATTTAACCTACATCACAACTTTGAGGAAGTTGGATATATATTTTTATATACGGAAACAAAAGTTACTCTCATGTGTATCTGTTTTTTTCACAGGAAATCACTACATTTTTATTTCAATTTTATAAACAATGTACTTGACAATTCAATATTAGGATGGAAATAAAGAAAACACAAACGAAATAATAAAACTATTAAAAATTTTGTTCCCATTTTACATGGTTTGTTCTAAAATGTCCTCTCATTTTGGAACAGAATGTAACCTCACTTAGACATAAAAATCAATGGAAAAACCATAAAAGTAGAAAGATTAAGGCATCAAGAAATTTGCAACCAGCTATTCTCCACAGTATGGACCACATTTATGTGAATTTTAAACCAGAATTTAAAACTATACATTATCTTCTTATATTAATTATTGTTGAAAATGCTTATAAAGACCAAAAGGGTACATTTAAAAATTATCTGGTTAAAAGATGTGTATTCATTTTTACTTGCACTTGTCTTTGGTGACTCATTTGGTATCATGTATGGGAAAGAAAAGCCACACATTAAAAATGGCTATTTTGGGGCATTGAGGGGGAATAAAAACCACTTTCTTAGAGTATGATTACATTTGATGAGTGCACTTCTGCGAAAAACAAAAACACAAACCAAAATCCTAAACCTTATAGTTTAGAGGGGAACATTTAAGGTATTTCACTTCATAATTGATAATGAAAGATCTGTCACTGTCTGAAAAGATTTCACTTGAATATTGTCTAAAATGCTGCAATGAGATTTTTAAGGCAGGAACATTTATTTATAAGAGCCTAAACAGCTATCTCTGACCCTTGCTTCTCTATCATCCGAGTCTCACCCTCTCCCCGCAACCAGATAGATGCAGGGATTCTAACTCACAGAGACCCAGAAGTAGAATGGCCTTATGGGGTTCCCAAGGCTGTTCATCTTTATGGAAAGAGACCGACTGTCTGTCTCTGGTAGCATGGCTGGAGGGACTGAATCACCCTTCTTTTGGTTAGCAGTGAAACCAACGAACAGTCAAAGGTTGGTTTGTTTTTTTTTAAGATACCGATAAAATGCAAATAGTTTTAATCTGATTTTGTTTATTCCTGGTGTTAACTGTGTTTGGAAAGAAGTCTTCTAAGTGGTACAGTACTGGTCTGTCAATTTGCTGTATTGACATAACCTGGCGTTGCTGTGATGCTGAACTTTGTGCCACTGGTGTGCCAAATACCATAATTGTTATCCATGGTGGACAGTGGTTGGTAGAGCTCCTAGATTAAGACACGCTTTGCAGCAGGAATGGCATTCTAAACAACATGCCTTTGGAAACTCTCTGAACATTAAAGAAACACTGTTAGTTACAGAACAGGGTTCAGATCTTTTGTTTGTGGGGTAGCTATGAGTAGTACTTGACTCGATGGCACTTAACAACAATGTGAAACTAGATAAAAGACATTATTTGCCTTTTGTACATAGGCAGTTAAGAAAATAATCCTTCCTTTCAAAGTTTCTAAATCAGAATCTCAAATAACCGTTTGGTGGTAAAAGGTTACTAACAGAAGTTATGAACTCCTTGCCCCTGGATTCTTCTGAACCTCTCCGTTTCTCTAATTCAATTGTACACATAGGTAGGTTTGGAGGCTGCTATGTCCTAGGTTAAACCAAGGTGAAGGTAAAAATTTTCTACTTGATGGATGATATAAATTATAAGAATGGAAGGAAGTAAAGGGTATTTTTAAAAAAATAGGAGGGTGTTTTACACTAACAGGTTACCACATTCTCCATTTAAATGTTAGTAACCTCTGAAATATAGGAAAAACCATAGGGTGTGTTAACTATAGACGATTTATGAGAAGGTAGCTTGTGAGAAAATGATGTCAGTTTGAAGAATAAGGTGTGTCTGATTCAGGCCATCATCTTTCTGATTACTTGTTATGCCTCTGAGAGCCAGACAATGAATAAGAATGACAGCAAAAGAATTGATGTCTTTGAGCTGTGGTGTTGGAGAAGAGCACTGACCAAACATCCCATGGATGGCCATGAGAACAAGCAGATATGTCTCGAAGATGGTGCAGCCAGAGTGCTCTTTGGAGGCAAGAATGATGAGGCTTCACCTCACACACTGGGCATGTTGCTAGGAGGGGCTATTCTTTGGAGAAGAACATGAAGTTGGGAAGGGTGAACTGTTGGCGAAGGAGAGGAAGATCCTCATGTATACTGACACAGTGACTGCTGCAATGGGCTTTTGTGTCAGAAAGTGTGAGGATGGCACAGGATAGAACAGGGTTGTGTTCCTAGGGTCGCTATGGGTCATACTAGATTTGATAGCACCTAACAAGAGCAACAAACTTGTGAGACATAGGCAGAGTTCAGAAGATGTGTTAAAGTTAAATTAACTTTAACTCGTAAGTGAATTTAAAGTAACTTAGTAAACCAAGTGACTAAGTTATGAGATGTGTCAAAGATAAATAAACAGAAAATATGACAGAAAGCCCAACCCATATCCTGCCACCTCTGGGCTAGAGCTGTATCACTCATATGTTGTAGCCTGGAAATGCAGGAAGATAACGAGCCAGGTGCACTTGTCCCTTCATATTCGCCCAGAAAACAGGTATTATTTTCCCACGGTTCCCTTGCTAAAATCTTAACTCTGGTCCTTGTTATCACACCATAAGACAGGACATAAGAATACCATACAAAGTAGGAATCACACAGTGTGAGTCTACCGCTTGCACCCTATCCTCAGACAAGACCTAGTAATATCGTATAGACAAGGATCCAAACAGTGTGATCCTTCCACTCGCACCTTATCAGTTGTTCACCTATATCTTTTGCTCTACTTCTTTATGTTGGAAACACACACTTATTCATGTGCCTTAATGTGGTCTGTGGCACACGTGGAGGGTGCCAGTAGACTAGGGAGATGAACTTGAAAGAGGAGAGATTGTGAACATGGCATTGGATGGCGGTTGTCATTGCCAGATGCGTCAGAGCCAACTGGATGGCACCTACTAAGAAGAACAACAACAACTATATAAAAGTAAATCCTCATATAATAATTTAGCTCAGCAGCAGTAACACAACATAGTTAAAAACAGTTTTTGAAGTTAGGCAGACTGGGTATGAATAACTGTTACAGCCTCTGAAAGCAGTGAAGACTTTTGTAAATTGCTTATTCTTTCTGTCTCAATGCTTTAATCTGTAAAACAGAAGTAATGACTTCCTGAAGATGAGACTGTTAGAACTGAATAAGCTGCAAAGCACAATTCCTACTAGCACAACTGGTGATAAGGAAGCTCTGGTGGCCCAGTGGTAAGGAGTACCAGCCAGAGGCCCGAGGTTCGAATTTACCAGCTGTTCCGTGGGAGAAGGAGGGGCAATCTCCTCTCCTACCATTAACTGCCTCTGAAAACGCACTGGGGGCTCAGTTCCGACTGAGCAGGACACAGCAACCACCACCAGCAGGCTTCACTTACTGGCGATCTATCTAGTTTGGAAATTTAAAAAACATTTGCTCAAACTTATTCAGATGATAGGACACAAAAACATTCTTTGCTGAACATCATGAAGTTCTGACATACTAAAATGTCAATAGAAAATTTTCGTCTAGGTCAGACACTACACTACTAGAAAGACTAGTAAGACATACCAAAGGATTTTATTAGGTATAGAATAAAACCTTAACATGGCAAAATTCTATTTTAATTCAGATTGTTTTGTATCTTCGGATCTCTTATTTCATTCTGACAGTACATCAAACAAGTCAACTAGCGAGAACCCTAATATACTAAAGTACAATGAAACGCTGTTTGAAGCAAAAGTTATAAAACATGACATCTGAAACCTGAAAGGATAGCAAATTCTAAGCCTAAATATCACCTGAGGAAGACTCTCAGTCTACCTTTGTAATTTTCACCATTACAGAAAGTTTGAAACAAATCCCTCTTGACAGATGGCTAGACTTCAAAGATGCAGCATAATAACTATTTTTATTATTGTTTTGACATTCTGGGTCATTAAAAAAACTTAGTATTTAACCACCTGCTACTCTCAATACATGATGTCACAGATCAAAATTTTATTAGTTAAGCTGATCACCATTTATTTCTCGATCTTTTGGAAAAACACTAATGCTATTTTGAAAATTCTGTAAAATAGTATTAATGAGTCCCCTCTCAACAGTAAAAATAAAATTAAAAATACATACACATAAATAATGATTGTAAGATGAAACAAATAGGTAAAAAGTTGGAAGAACCTATCATATACTCAACCTCCCCCCAAAAAAAATCCCCACTGTCGCAGAATCAATTCCAACTCCTGGTAACATTCCCATTGGTTTTCTGAGGCTGCAAATCTTTATGAGTGGAGACCACTGATCTTTCTTCTGTAATGCAGTTGATGGATTTGAACTGATGATCTTCTGGTTATCAGTTCAAAAAGCAATCCATGTAAGCCAGTAGGACTATTTGGTATGTGTGTCAGAGACAATAGATTGGCACAAGATAGGGCAGGGTTTAGGGCTGTTGTACATAGGGTCACTATGAGTTGCAGGCAACTCGACACATAACCACCACCACAACCCAGGTTGAGAGCTGGGGAAAGAATATTCTTGTCTGTGGTTCTCATTTTTAGTTACCCATTTTCCTTTCAAAGGGAGTTGAGGACTAAGAAACTGATGTTTATTGGATAAAGATTAGATCAGGGATAAAAACATGAATCATAGCCATAAAGGATAAGGCAAGTGATGAAATCAAGAGGAGAAGCACAGGATTATTAGCTTCCAAATCACATTAATTTTAAAGAAGAAGAAAAAATCTGTGCGCTTTTACTTACTTCAGGGCTCAGGACTGCAGTGCTGTCACTTGGAACATCTTCTTCATAGCCTTTGTTATGAAAACTTTCTACTTCACGGCCTGTGCTTCCTTCACTTGGGCACTTGTTATAGGAGCATCTTGGACTGTTGCTGCAGTGGGAATATTCACATTTAGTGTCCCCAATTTCTGAGGGTGTACATGAGAGGTGGGGAGAACCACTGTCATCCTGATACGGTGGTGGCTGTAATTCATCCAGTGGGGGTGTTCTTCTCATTCTCTGAATGCAGTTTCCTGATAATGATTAAGAATCTGGTCACTCTTTCCAATTAGCCTCACATATTGATATATTGTCAAAAAACTAAAAACAAAACCAAACAACAACAAAAACCAACCAACCAACCAAACCTAACAATAAAAACCAAACAGGATGAAAACTTTTGTGGAAACATAACTATTATTTTTACTAGTGAGTCTTCTCTAGTTCAGAAATAAAAAGAAAATAATATGGGTTTTCCGCTCTCTCCTTCTGAACAAGAATATTATGAAAAGTAGAAGTCACATATTAAAAGTGATCCTGTCATGTATCACTAAAATATAAGAATAAATTAGCAAAAGAGCTTATTTTCATTTTCCCTCTCAGTATACGAACGTCATCACTTATTCCCTTGTAATCTGTGGCCTGTCTAGCCAAAACAATAAAAACAGTACATAAAGGAGCTCTAGTGGCCTAGTGGCAAGAAGCTGTGCTGCAATCCTGAAGGTGTGCAGTCTGAATCCACCAGATGCTCTGCTATAGAAGGAGGGGCAATCACCTCCTGTCCCGTTGAATCCAATTAGAAAGTAAAGAACAAGAGGAAAAAAAGTACATACAAAAAAACATGAAAATTTCCTTTCCCCCTAGTTATGGAGATGACTTTAAATAAACATTCAGCTTTTCTGGGTCAAAAATTGTTTTTTAAAATCTGCCCTCAATCCAGGATCCTAAAGTGAGATGCACTGTATATCAAGCTTTACCCTCTGCTTATTAACAATTTCCATCAGTCCAAAAAGAATGGCAGATATAACACATTTGCCCCCCATTATAAGGTTTGTCCATCCCATTCTACATTCATGTCCATATCCTTTTGAAAGTATAGCTCCATCTTATTTATAGCAAGCATATGTACTTCCAATAGCAAATGAGAAGGACATTTTCCTTCACTATCAAATAATTATATATTTTTTCCCCTTTTACTAAGTGGGCAAAAACATATCTTTGAAAGAGGATGTGAGTGTGGACAGAAGGTGGACAAAACAAAAGTTCAGTATACAATTTAAGAATAGCTGAGTCTATACAGGAAAATCCTGAATGTGCTATTAGATAATAAATTTAAGCATTGCTATTTTTTTCTTTTAATGGACTATGTATTTCCTCTCTCAAAAGAGGACTCTAAAAAAAGTAGTCTGTATTATAATTCTTATAATAGATTTCAGTTCAAGCATTCAATAGTGTTTCTGTTCCTCACAAGAAAGAAAAATTTCACATAAGAACTACAGACTCATTTGGAAATTATCACAATGCCTGGCTCAATATTAATTTGCATGAACTTAGCACAAATTTAAATTTGTGCTCAAGAGTCCTGATTTTGGAAAAAGAAAGTGAAATGTCATACCTAGGAAGTCTAATATACCAATTCCAGTTTATAAAAACACAAGTAAAAAGCAGAAAAGTTACTGAACTAATATAAACTAAGTGAAATGGGAGAAAACTTAGTAGACACACTGCAAGTAGTAGCTACAAGGCCACAAAACTACTAATAGAAAATAAACTTTAAGAGTTATCTGGCTTAATCCATGTAGGTGGATTAGGCAAGGATGCATGGTGGCACAGTCGATCACTGTTACTGTTCTGTACCACCAGGTCAGATTCCTCTGGTCAGATATGACTCATAGCTGACCCTCTGGTGAGTTTTCTGGGGCAGTTAATTGAACAGGAAGAGACTGCCCATCTTTCTCCCATGAAGCCTCTGGTGGAATTGAACTACTTTCCTGCAGGTTGGCAGCCCAGCTCCTTACCATTAGGCCACCAGGGCTCTGGCACAGATGACAAGCTGACCCAATCAAATTAGTAACTTCTTTCTTCCCTAGTTGCATTCTAATTGTTGTTGACAAGAGTTGTCAAGTTGGAATCAACTCAGAGCTGACCTTCCTGCTGGTTTTCTGAGGCTGTAATTCATACGGGAGCAGCTGGGGGATTTCAACCTCCTGCCTTTGGGTTGGCAGCATAATGCCTTACCACTTGGCCAAGAGAGCTTCCCTGTAATCTAATTATAAATGGCCTAAGAAGCCTAGGACTAGGGGGCCAGGACTTCCAAGAAACCTTGTTTCTCCTCCACGAGCATCTCCTTTCCCCCCCTTTGCTTCTTCCCTTTCCTCTTGCCTAGAAGTGCAGCAGACAATGATGGATGGTGAACAGAAAAATGACAGGAGCCTAGATCTCAGAAATGACATGGAGTAGCAACACCTAAACTCCTTGATGCTTGTGTTAACAAAAAAGAACTGTTAGCTGGATTTTCTGTTGTATCCAAATATATTTTTGTGACTGCTACAGTTTATTACTCATGAAAGCAATACCCACACCATGCACTGAAGTGTGTATCGCATCAGCCACAGAATGAAAGAGTAAAACCTAAACACTTACTGTAACATGAAGTTAATAAAAAAATCTCCCAATGTAGGTAGTGTTCCTAGGGGTCAGCATATCATCTTTTCCTTTACAGATTTTTTATTTTAGCATGAGAAGTACTCTTTTCTAGAAGTTTCTCAATCATGCTTCCATAGATCTCATTGAACAGAATTTGGTCACATGTCTGTTCTTAAAACCATTACGGTAAGGGAAATGGGGTTGCCATAATTGTTTTAGGTTAATCAGAATCACCTGTATGTGAAGTTGGAAATGAGGCCTGTTTTACAATTCATCCTGTGGAGAAGAGGAAATACCTGGACAAGGTAGGGTCCAGAAAGAATAAAGGTAGGGGAAAAGACTGTTGCCTATAAAAGCAACATGTTTCAACCTTTGCCTTCCTTATCCTTCAACTGTCAACTCTATCTCTGTTTCCATCTTTATTAGACTATCATCCAACCCTGTGACTCTTTCTTTGGTATACTTTGGTCTGCAAGAATCCTTTGAATATCCTTTTGATGTGATCACAACATAACTTTTGTGTGGTAACAATGTTTTCCTCTATTTTCTGTGGTTTCCTCCCTACCCTCCCTTGCATTAGGCCTATTTTCTGTGTTTTCCTCCTCACCCTCCCTTGCATTAGGCCCATGTCTAGTCGCAAGCCAAACTAACTAACCTCTGACTTTTGTTCAGACTTAGTGTCACTCTCCAGAGAGCAAGGCAGCTACCTCAAGTAAATCTGGTGATAAAAATGTCCAATAGGCTGAGTGGAAAGACCTCCCTATTGTTAATTCAATTTAAGAGAAATAGTATGAAAGCAGTAGACTGGAATGCATATAAAGTTTTGAAAAGAATAACACCACATTATTTGCTCAATTTTACCCATTTTAATTCTCAAAGTGGAGAATCTGGAATGAAAATTTCAGTAAAAATAGCTCATGATTTCACCTTTTAAAAACTTGCAATTAAAAAGAACTTCCTTGTTATCTATCCAGGACTATGTGAGTAGGTTATAACTCCATTTATAATTAACCTGTAACTAACTTAGAGAATATTAACTATGTTAGTTTTAGAAAAGGAAGCCCTGATGGCCTCATCTGGAGTTGTGCTGCTTGCCCAAAGGTGGTGACTCTCTGGCAGTGTGAATGTAGCTACAGCCTCTGATAACCTGCTGGAGGGAGCATCAGCTAAGAGTTAGTTCCACCTTCCACCCCCAGTCAATGAGTTTTGAGTTTGAGTGCTGACTTACGTTTAATTCATATTGGAAATATTTTTAAAAATTTGCCATTCTTTCCCCTCCCTTTTAATCATAAATTATTTATTTGCTTGGAAAGAATTTTATGACCAATTGCATACACATCAGCATAAAATTAGTTACATTTCAACACCACATTAGGATAGAGGCAAATTTTCTGGTAAACAATAATTTCATCTGTTCACATGCTTTTTTATATATTTATTCATTCTATTAGTTTATTTACAAAATTCAAATTTACAAATTTGAACGCATTCTTTCAATTTCTCTCACCTACCCATCAAATTGTACAACCCAATGATTAATCTCCCCTTTCCCTTGCACATCCACATCCCTCTGCAATCAGCCTCTCCCATCCCTCCTGGATCCTTATACTCCTTCTACAAAAACAGTTTTAAACAATATTTATCCTTATGTGACTGAGTTAGTTCACATAGCATAATGCTCTTCAGTTCCTCTCAAGTTAGGTAAAAATTTACAAAGTTATTGCTCATGCGCGCTGCATAGTATTCCATTGTGTGGATGTACCATAATTCTTCAATCCATTCTTAAGAAGCTATTTCTAGTGGAACCATCAATTGTCAAAATGTTGATACCCTTCATTATTTTGTATTTTGTTTTACCACCTAATCTAATACACATTTCCATGGAAATAATATATCTATAAAAGGATCCATGTTTACACTGTAAGAATGTTATTGTCTGCATTTTGCACAGCACCTGCAGAACAAGACTAAATGACCTTCTACCTTAGCAAAAGCTGATGCAAACATACCTGGAATAGGGCTGTAGTACTAAACATTATGTTTTAAGGTAGTGGCTTTCAAAATGAAGGAGCCTCTGCTCTGAAAAGTTATGAACAGCTAAACTCTTGCAGAATATTCAGGGTTTATAGTAATCTGGTGAAATTAAAAATACTCTGGATAAGTCAAGAAGGATCAACATAGTTTTTAAAAATTGTAAGAATAAACTGGCTATTCTCTAGCCACAGGGAAACTGAAGCTACATTATTAGAAGCAGAAATAAAGGTGATGACTGAATAAACAGAGTGGGACATCGATCCTTCCAATAAGGACACGAAAAAACAAAGATAGGCAGGTAAGGTGATAACACTAGCATCCTGAAAGTGAAAGGAAGCTAGAAAGAGAAGACACAATCCATACTGAAGGCCGCAGTCTTTGATCTGCACCAAGTGTTCCAAGTCCTCCTCACTTTCAGCATGGCATGTCATCTATGTAATGCCAGTTGTTAAGTCTCGTACCAATCCTCCTCCCACAATCTTCTTCATAAAGTCTAGCTTCTTGAATATTCTGCTTAGCATAGAGATTGAACGGGTATGGATAAAGAATACAACTCTAGCACATACTTTCCTGA